AGTCAGACGCAGAGAGAAAGAGAGAGAGAGAGAGAGAGAGAGAGAGAAAAGGAGCTACGGGAAAAGAAACACGAGGCGTGCCTGGCACGTGCGATTGGAATGCCGGCGCTGATGTACGAGCGATAAATCAGAGCCCTAGGCTGCTCAACGCGCGGTGAACGTTCGTACAAGGAATAATTACCGCGACTCGCGGTGGCTCTGACGCGCCATTCGAGACTCATGTCGCGGAGGCGTCCGGGAGCTCTCTCTCTCTCTCTCTCTCTCTCTTTCTCTCTCTCTCTCTTATCGGGGACACAATGTTGTGATTTACTTACACGGCCGTCCGTCTGCGCTCGGAGTTGATACTCGCGTTCGCGTTCGGAGCGGCGCGTGTGCGAGAGAACCGCTGGCCGAGGAGTCGCGGCGGGTATCTGAAATTAACCGCGCGCGTCTTTCCGCATTCAGCCGACGCCCGACGGGGTGTACGTCGTCGTCGGGGACGATCGACGATCGGCGACGCGCGAGAGTCGAGCCGCTTACGCGGAGTCGCGTGCAATCTCGTGCCGAGACGTCGATGTAGCGTCGGCGCGAGCACCAGCGGACGAGCCTGAACGGCGCACCTGGGGCTGCACGCGTTACGTCCCGGAGAGGTTCTCCAGTCACCTCGGAATCCCGAGCCGGGGTCCCACGTCGATTTCCTCAATCGTTGTTTGCCCCGCACTCGGGGCTTTGTCGAGGGTGCCCCTCCTCTTTCTTTCCTCTCTCTCTCTCTCTCTCTCTCTCTCTCTCTCTCTCTCTCTCTCGCTCTCTCTCGCTCTCGCTGCATCGAGTTTCAAAACTCATCGTCGTCACGTCGACGAACCCCCTCGGCCGGAGAGCAATCGAACGGGCCGACACGGCTTTGCGACCTGCCCCGCCGCGCCGGGTGGAATCGATAAAATTCATTCGAGGTTCGGCGCACGACCGCGATTACGCGAGCTTAGTCGCGTGATGGAAAGCAAACTTTACTTGAAACCGGGCGGCGCGGCGCGGCACGGCGCGAGTCGTTTTTAGTAGCCTGGCTACGGGGAAGAAGACGGCGCCGGCGAGCGGAGAACTCGCGGCATTCTCGCGGCAAACTCGCGCGACTCGGCGAATTTCCTCTCTGATTGCAGGATTCTAAATCGCGCGCGAGCGAGCGGGCGTTTTTCTCGCTGAAGCTCCAATCCGACGGCGATTCAGGATGGCGGCAATTTTGAAAGTATACAGCTGAAGCAGGCGAGAAATTACGCGACGTCGTCGAGAAGTCGCCGTGGCTGGCGACTTCTCGACGACGACGTTGAACGTTTATCAAATGCGCCTTTAAAATGCGCGACCCGCCCCCCCCCTCTCTCTCTCTCTCTCTCTCTCTTTCTCTCTGTCTCGCGCGGTCGTCGGATGTATCCCGATACACTCACTCGTGTAAGCGTCCTCTAGCCAGCGATTTGACGCTGCCGTGACTTCTCTCGCTCTCGGCCGATTCTCGGCATATTATTCCGATGGCGCTCTCTCCGTGGCAACCGCCCCCGCACTTTCGCGGAATCGAGAGAGGCGCCCACCCCTGCCTGCGTGCTTTTGGCACTTCGCGCCGAGACACGTGCGAGCGTGGCGTGTCCGGGCGCGACGGCGGAGTCTAAAGCGCCGCTTAATCGAGTCGAGTGTCGCACCTGTACATCGACGCGACCGCGGTATATTGACTCTCAACCCGTCGTCGCTCCGAGTACAGTATGTCGGAGCTGATTCGACATTCAGCGTGGAAATAACGCGCGCGACTACGTTCGATCGCCGCCGACGACGACAACGACGACGACGACGACGACGGCGGCGGCGGCGGCGGCGGCGACTACTTCGTATCGCACACGACGAACGAGCCCGCTGATGCGTACGTCACCAACACCGCGAGACACGCCGCGATGTCATCGTGTCCGAGGGAAGCCTTGACCCGGTGCGAATATGAGCGAGCGACACACTAGAGCAAACTAGCCTAGCCTCTGAAACTTCGCGACGAAGGAACCGCCTCGATCCCACGCGAGTGGTTCATTGATATTTGAGTAGCTGTGAGCGTCCGATTCACGATTTTTCCAGACCGCGTCCTCATTTTTCCTCGCGCACGTGGCACGTCGCGTTGGAAAAGTGGCAATTCGACGGGACGGACAGAGAGAGAGAGAGAGAGAGAGAGAGAGAGAGAGAGAGAGAGAGAGAGAGAGAGAGAGTGCAGCTCCGTTATTTATTTCACGTAAATATCTTTCTCTCTCTCTCTCTCTCTCTCTCTCTCTCTCTCTCTCGAAATAATTATTCATCTTACATGCGAGTTTCTGAAACGTTTATTTATCTGAAATTACCCTCGAAATTATATTTCGCGAGAGTCACGCATCCATCGTAAAGTCGTGACTAAAATTAACAAGAGAGTGCGCACCTTCCCCCCGCCCCCCTCTTTTGGCAGACGGCCACTCGTTTTATCGATACTCGCAAAGCCCCGGTGTACCTTTCGCTCGGCAGCGTCTCCTCCGCGGACGGAAGACTGAACCGAAGATTTCCGAGGGAATTGTCAGGCCGCAATTCCGCGCGATGCATCGGCGGCTAGGTAGTGCGGCGATGTTTTCGCCAATGGCTTTGCTCCGCGAGCTCCGGGAGCTCCGGGCTCCCGCGCGGCCCGGCTATAATCCCAAATGTCAGAGTTCAGTATAGCGTTGATCAATATCGCCTCTTCTTCGGCCGGAACTTTGAAGGATACGTTGCTTTCGCGTATCGCGCTATAACGGCCGATCCGCGCCGTTCGAATCCGCGGGAATCGGATCGCCGCCATTTTACGGGCCGCGTAAATCAGGGCACAAAGGATCCGCGGAAATTAAGGAAGTTTCGTAATTACGGCGCACGGGCTGCTCTCTCACGGGCAAATTTATACACCGGAGCCGCCTCGCTCGCGCTGCGCTATGAATACGATATACGGCAGGCGGCAGCAAATTCGCGATTGTGTCGTCCGCCGTCGATGAATTAATTTTCACGATTGGAAAACGCGCGAGGCGCGCGGAGCGTAGCCCGGGAAACTTGCGAAGCTCCTCCCTTCGAGAGACGACGTGCGGTAATTTGAAAAATCAAACCGCACGGAGTGCGGTTCGCGAGGCGGGGCCGGTGATTAAAGTGCATTGTCCTCGCCGTGCGTCGATGAGGAAAAAAGGAGAGAGGAGGAGAGAGGCTGCGTCGGGGGATATTGAAAATGTCTCTCGCAATTTGTGGCGAGAGAGATAACGCGGAATCGAGTTAATGCGAAATTAATTATATCCCCGTAGCGCGCGGATCCTCACACCGAGGCTACAAGCCATCCACCATTAAGACACGGTAATAGAGTGATTAAGATCCATCCCAGCGGCCCGAAAGTCCCGCTCCCGTCGAATCCCTCGAAATGGCATCGCAACGACCGATTCGAAATCGACGGAATCGCGCTGCCGCTTCGAGATGTAAACGTTCCGAAAAATGTTGAGAATTATTTGCCCACCGCCGTGTTGTGCACAGCTCGCGGTGAAAGCAGCGAGTAATATTCGTGAATAAAACTCCGCGTAACTATTCCCGTCAACTGGCGAATAATTGACGACCATTCACGGGCCGATATTTGCGCGTCTGTATTTATCGCGAAACACATTGATCCACCGTGTTGCGGTGGAGACCGCAAGGCGAGGAAATCGGGTTACATTTCAGCAGCTCTCTCACGACGGCTCACCAATTAATCCGTTACTCAGCCTTCGGTATATATTTCGAAGGAGGGCGGGGGCGAGAAGCGAGGCTCGCATTATTAACTATACGTTAGGCAAATTCATTGAGAGCGCTCGGCCGAAGCTTCTCAACGGCGCGTCCCGCGAACAGGCCTACATCCGCGTATCGCCGGCGAATTTCCATAACGAAGCAGCGCGCGTCGCGTATGCGCCGGTATGCGAAATCGCTGACCGCGGGAGAAGAGAGAGAGGGAGAGAGAGGGAGAATGTCCGCGATCTTGTCCCGGCAAGGACGAGGTCGCGAGCGCGGCCTAATCTTCCACCCCTCCTTCTTGTCCTCCTTCAACCCTCGCCCTCGTTCCCTCTCCGCCGCCGCCGCCGCCGCCGCTGCCTCGTTACACACGAGCCACCCCTGAGCAAGTCTCGCTTCCGCCGACGACGAAGAGCCTTCCTATATACATGTATATACACGAAGCTGCCGAGTGAGTGCAGGCGCACCCCCGGGCCACGCTGCACCGCGGATGCACCGTGGCTGCACCGTGGCTGCACCCCTCGGGTGGAAAGAGCGCGAGAGGGATGCCAGGGTGTTCGGGTGGTGCTGTGGTACCTGGTCGTGGGAGGCGAAAGAGGAAGGGGATGGAGGAGGAGAAGGAAGAGGCGGCGGCGGCGGCGGCGGCGGCGGCGGCGGTGGTGCCGGAGGAGCAGCGAGAGAAGGAGGGAAGGGAGAGTCGGCAAAGGGCGAGCGCGACGAAGAGTACCGTCGAGAATTCGCTTCCGTGTCCCAGTAGCACTAATGACCGCCACCCACCCCTTCCGTCCCGTTCGCTTGCATTCCCCTCCATCGCGCCCTTGCGTTCCTTCTCTCCCTCTCTCTCTCTCTCTCTCTCTCTCTCTCTCCGTCTCTTTCTCGCTCTCTCTCTCTCTCCCTGCCGGCAGGATTCGCTGCTCCCCACCGCGCGACGACGTCCCTTCCCCTCTCGCACCCCTCCACGCGAAGCAACACACATCCAGGATGACTCGAATTACGTCACAACGTCGAGAGCGTGCGACCTGCCCCCTCCTCCTCCCGCCGCCGCGCCGCCCCCTCTCGCGCTTCCTCCCGCCGACGTTCTCTGCGCCCCCTCTGCCCCCGGAGAGGTACCAATATCGTTTTACCTCCACGGACCCAACTCCCCCGCAAGCAACCCCCCGGCTACCCCGCCGTCCCGCGGTGGGCACCCACGAGCGGGACCGTGTACACACGATATGTGGCGCGCTATATATCTACTATTCCGCTATAGCGGCCAGCACTCGACAAGACCGAGGGGAAGCCGCCAGTCTCCGCTGGTACACCGAGCTGCGTGTTGCTCTTCCTCGTTCACCACGTTCGCGCTTTCGTTGCAGGTTGAGAGATAGAGATAGATATAGAGATAGAGATACATAGAGAGTGAGAGAGAGAGAGAGAGTGAGAGAGAGAGAGAGAGAGAGAGAGAGAGAGAGAGGGGGATAGAGGTAGAGAACAAAGAGCGATAAAGAGCGAGCGAGCGAGAGAGCGAGAGAGAAAGGAGGAGAAAGAGAGAGAGAGAGAGGGAGAGAGAGAGAGAGAGAGAGAGAAAGAAAAACGAAAAGCAAAAGCCTCGCGCTTTCGCACTCTCGGCCGCGCAACACCGTCCGGCGGCATTGGATCGTGCGCACGCGGCTTGTCCGATGCGTAATAAGACGCGTGCATAGCGCGGAGCAGACAGATCCCCCAGGATACGGATAGGAAGGTGCGCGCGGAGGGAACATCGTCGTCGTGGCCGCAGGCTCGGATTTACTGGGGGACGGGTGTGTGTGCCCGCGCGGTGACGACGACGACGACGACGACGACGACGACGACGACGACGACGACGACGACTCGGCGGCGGCGGTGGCGGCGGCGACGACACTCCGAGGAGTAACACGTACAGGTGTGTATGATTCGTCGCGCGCTCGTGCGCGCGCGAGAGCGCACGTGTAGCCAGCAGCGAGCAAAACGTGTACGCGCTCTCGTGATCGCGCTCTCGCTCGCGCTGTGTCGTCAGTGTATATCGCATGCGAGTATATGTGTGCGTGTGTGGGTGTGTGTGCGTGCGTGCGTGCGTGCGCGTGCTTGTGTGTCGCGCGTACGTGAGAACGAGAGAAAAGGTGGTGGTGGAGAAGAAGGAGGAGGAGGAGGAGGAGGAGGAGGAGGAGGAGGTGAAGGCGCAGAAACGAAGAAGTGCAAAGATATACCTCGCGCGGAAGCAAAGGCGATTTTTCCGACTTGCCGAGCGAGCTTTTACGACTTTCTAATGGTCCTCTTAATCGCGCGCGCGTTATCGGCCGTCGCGTACGACTCGACGTTCGTCGCACCTCCGATCGATACGCAGCTGTCGTTGCGTGAATGTCGTTGTCGTTTCGACGGATCGATCGACGACATTAAAATTGCAACTTCGCGCTATTTCCCGATGGTGCGCGCGCGCGCGTGTGTTTGTGTGTGTGTGTGTATGTGTGCGTTTGAGAGTACCGCCTCAGCGGCTGTTTCGGCCGTTGCCGTTTCCGCAAGCAACAATTTCAAATCGGCAAATTTGATTCCCCCCCGTTGTCGAGCACAGGCCGTGAACGTAAAGCTATCTCGGTCGGCTCGCGTTGCAACTCCGGTCATCTTTATTTGATCAGCTCATCAACTTATTCGTGTTTGCCACGCTGATAGGAGTTCGGTACGAGCCGAGGGCCGCGAGCGCGATCGATTGGCCAGGAATCTTGAATCAACCGGTCGGCCAATTTCGTCGCAAACGGCGCTACCGTTTACACTCGGCGCTGAATTTTTCACCCGGCGCAGCAACTCGACTCTCGTACCCTCTCTCTCTCTCTCTCTCTCTCTCTCTCTCTCTCTCTCTCTCCACCGCACTCGCGCCGGTGCAATTAATGAAGCGATCGCGCTCTGCCGAGAATCAGAAATAACGACGAAGAGTTTGAAAATAAACGATGCTCGCTGATTCACTTTGTCGCCGCTCGACCGCGCTTTTCGCTCGCGAAGACGTGTCCCCTCGTGTGCGATCCGACTGGCACAGATTCCCCAAGATCGCCTCGAGTGCCAAGCTCATCGTCGGCTCAAAGGGTCCGTGATAATCGCGTTAGCTCGTGGAAAGCACCACGAGCTGCCGCCACCGGGGGGTGCTTCTGCGGCGTGCGACGAGATTGTCGTCCGCCGTGAACTCGCCAGCGCGCTCGGGCTCGCGCCGCTCCCGCCAGGCCTAACCGAGTGGAGTGAGTGTGCCTCTTTAAAGACGCGCGAGGGAGTAGCACGCTTCCACGCGTTTCAACCTTGCCGCTCTGAATCCGCCATCGCGACACTTGCGCGCGCGCTACCAAATGAGAGCTCCGACACGGCCGAGTCGCGCGCGCGACGTTCGCCCGCCGTGAAACCCGGTCGCCGCACCTCGCTAGGGTGCACATCACCTCCCGCTGAACCGGGATGAGCCGTAGAAGACGCGAGACGCTCTCCGCGACCTCCGCGACTGAGACAAGAACGGCAACTTTAGAGATTCGCTCATCGCCCTCACCGCGTAGTTTCCTTTCTCGCTGACGAGCGCGTGGGCGAGCGAGAGTGTCAATGACGGTTCGCGCTTTTCACAGCCTGAACAGCCCGACCCGCGTCGTCCGTATTATTTAACCGGCAACGTATCCGCGACATATTCCTTACGCCGTAAAGCCGTGATCAATTTTCCCCGGCCGCTCTCTCTCTCTCTCTCTCTCTCTCTGCCCCTTCGCTTCCGTTTACTTTGACTTCGCTCGAGTACATCCTGTGTAAAGCTCGCCGCGCGGCGCCGAGGGCGAGCCTTACCCTTTGGCGCATTAAACGTGTCTCGTAAATATTGACCCTCGCAGCAACGAGTGGAGGAAAAGACGAGCGAGCAGATCGGCCCGTCATTTGCACTTGACGAGCGCGCGCACGCCCGTCGACCTCGCGTTATATTCGCGTTGCGTAGCCGCTCTCTCGCAGGCCGAAGTCACGATCGGTGATACTTTTCGCGACGGAGATTACGAATGAAACATTGTGTACATGCTCGTTACATAAACCGCTCGTACGACACGTGACGTTGTTGTGCAGCCACGCGCGCGCGCGAGCCGCGTTTCCTTGCTTTCGAAATGCGGAAGGCTTGCGAAAGGAAACCCGAATGCGCAAAATTCTCCGGCCGCTTCGTCGTGAAACAGCGGGAGAATGTCAACGGTGGGCGTCAATTGCGGCGAGATTTTTGCAATCTCGCTTCTTCGGTGGATGGATACACATCAGCGCGCGGTACAACTGCTGTCGTATTACTTCAACATGTTAACGCGCGCGATTCACTCTCGCGCTCTACACTTTTGTTTCTGTCCCGTTTCTACGGCGATTCGACCGATCGATCGCTGCGCGTTATCCAGCTCTGCAGAGAGCCTTGTGTGTCGCGGAAAGAAGCACGATGTGTGACTCTCGACGTGACTCTTAGCGCAGTGATTTTTGCGGCGCCTCGCCCCTCCTCTCCTCTCCTCGGGAAGTCCGCGCGGACGACAACAGCCGCGAGCGTCCGTTTTCCGCGCGCGCCGGGCGAACTTGACATGTTGTCTCCTCCTTCTCCCGCCTCCGTCTTCCTCATTCTTACGATCGACGATCGATCGGGGGGGGGGGGAGGGAGGGGTTCGCGTCGATAATAACGCCGACAAGAGCAGGAATCCGCTCCGGCGCGACTCCCACGGTGTTGCTTCACCGCGCTCTCGCCGATCGTGATGCGATCTCTGCTGGTTCGCGCTCGCGCGTTCGCGTGAACGGCGGATTTAAATTTGGCATCGGCACGCTGTCGTCGTCGTCGGGCTCTCTTTTTCTCTCTCTCTCGTTCTCCGTGTCAAAGATTACACCTCGCCTTGCGTTTCGTCCGTTAGGTGTTGTAACTGACCCAGATTCCGGTTGCCGGAGTCACCAATGGACTGTCTCGCGCGCGCAAATATATCCCGCGCCAGCGGCAGCTGCGGGATGTTTCGCAAGCGGCGAATCGATGATCGACCGACGAGCGGGTCGGATATGTTCGGCAGGAAGTGTTACCGCGAGCGAAGCGACCCCCGTGATGCGACTCTTGACGCTTTCGTACTCGCTGCGCCGCGCGTGCTTCGTCTTCGTTCGCGTTTCGTTGGTCGTTGTGAATCTTCCTGCGCAGCGCGGCGACGATATTCCTCGCTCCGTTGCTTCACGAATTTTCCGCCGATAATTGCGCCGTTGCGTAATCGCGCGAAGCGCGAACCGCGGCATTTAATTTTTCTCCGCCGCGCGTCGTGCTTCCTTTCTTCTTCTTTTTTTTCTTCTTTTGTTCTTTTATCCCGTCCTTCATGAGCCTTCTCCTCGCCCCCCGATCTTCTCCCGTCGTCGTTCGGACGTGCGGCGTGTTACGTCACGCCGATCATCCTCCGCCCGTTCCTACGAGCGAGTCCACCTGCGCGAGAACCGCGGTCGTTCTCCGCGTGCGTTTCTCCGAGAACGTGCGGAGAGGAGAAGAAAAATATATTACCGTCTCTGGGAAAAAGATATGCCGCGGCGGCGCAATTAATTGTCAACTAAGCAATTAACGTCGCTCCACCACGGAGATCCACGTTTGCATGTTAATGTCTCTCTGTCTCGCGGGACGGAGGGAGGAGGGAGGGGGGGGAATCGAACAACGGCGTATTTTGTGTCTGTCACGCGCCTGTCACGGTGAATTCGCTCTTTAAAAGGAGCTCGTTGAAACGCCGCGCCGGGGGAACGTTCGGTCGTCACGGTGTCATCTCCCAAGCTGCGCGAGGCATATTTTTTCTCCGGCCTTGGCGAGTAGCTAATTGTGTGTGTGTGTGTGGTATCCGCGATGATTTACCGGCGGACCGCGAGCCACTCGACCGGCTGAAATCGATTTCTCGCTCGGCGCGATTGTTCCTGATCATCCAACGACGGGCGGATCTGTCTGAGACGGGGGGAAGGAGGAGGGACGACTAAAATCGCGATTAAAATCGCCGCCCGAGGCCGAGGCGACGAGATGAAACATCCCGCCGCTAATCCCGCCGTTGCGATGCGCGGGGCGCGCTGCGCGAATGAAAATTAGAATTCCCATTAATACGCGGCGTGTTATCGGTGTGAAATCGATTCGACGCGCCGCGCCGCACTGCGCCGCGGCGACGATTTCCGCGCTTCTTTCTGTTTATTCGCGCTCGTCCTTTTTCCTCCCTCGCACCCACCCATACACACACACAGGCGCGCACACGCGCATGTGCACTTATGTGTTTCCCGTGAATTTTGCATACCAAAGGCTCGTCCGCCCGCGGAATGTCGCCCGACCAGAGACACGAGCGTTTGAACTTGGCTCAGCCAATTATACCCCGACACGTCGTTTCTCGTTCGGCCCTGCTCGTCCCTCTCCCTCTCCCTCTCTCTCTCTCTCTCTCTCTCTCTCTCTCTCGCCATACACACTTCCCGCCGTCCTCCTTTCCCTTGTATCCGCCGCACGCGCGAGTTCGCATAATCGAACGGCCGCCGACGCGGGCGTATTTTTACAAATAGCGCGCATAACTCGCGGTCTGTTCGCGCGGTCGCGCTGCTCTTTCCTCGCGCGAAGTCGCGCGCGGCCCGAGCAGACGTCTTCGGGACGAGAGTCGCGCGCGGGCGCGCTCGCTCCCGATCTCGTCTCGTTGCGACATCGCGGCGGAACCGTGCTAAACGGAGAGCCGCACTGCAGGCGGCGCGGCTGTGGAGCGACTCGAAATATCTCGCGCTTCAACGGGATGATCGGCTTCTCGCAGCTCGTATTCTCGTGCTCGTGCTCGTCGTGTAGGAAACGGCGGCACGTGACTCTCCGCGCGAGAGCGCGCGGACCCTTTGCACCGGAGCGGCGACGCGCCGCGAGAAACCGCGCGGCTGCGGAGCGTGTCGGAGCGCGAATTTCTAACGGCG